GCCGACAATTATTACTATAATTTGAAAAATGAAAATTATTTCCCAACACTTTCAATAGTAATTTTTTAACTCATAAATTTAGACAAATGCGCACGATGATTGTCTAACACTTAAATCCATCCAAGACCAACGACAAACACATGTATTTTTACATACAGAACTGAGATTTATATATTAGATTCACGATTTATTTAAACAAATAGATTTCATTTAGTTTAGACTGTCCAATGCCCACTAAATACTCTCTTTAATAATTTTAGGGCTTAAGGAAAAAAAAAACATTAATATAATCAAGCTGTTTGTCTTTAAAATAAGATATGTTACCTAATTATGAATTAAAAAGCGTTTTTTTAACGGTACTGAAATATAGATACATCAGTATTATGCTATCAAAAAATCACCAGTTTTATAGTTTCTGGTTGATCAAAAAATATTTCTGCGATAAGATAGGCAAACGTCAACTTCATTTTGAATGAAGTTCAGTGTACAATACATACACAGGATATAAACACGCGGGTAGGACTATACAGTTTAGTATTAAGGTATCTATCGCGTTACCATGGCTACTAAGTCCAGGGTAAAAATTATCATTAAGGGGACCCAGGGGGACTGATATTCTAAGAATTATTGTAAAGTCATGCTAGGTTTTGTGATAAGCTATGATTAGTGTCAGGGTTAGTGTCAGGGTTAGTGTCAGGGTTAGTGTCAGGGTTAGTTTCAGGGTTAGTGTCATGGTTAGTATCAGGGTTAGTGTCAGGGTTAGTGTCAGGGTTAGTGTCAGGGTTAGTTGTAGTGTAGCTATATAAGTATAGCATACAACCTTCCAACAAGTCGCCCGATGTTATTAGTGTCAAATGTTGGTCACATATAAATCATACGTTTATTATACGTATGCCACTCTTATGTCACACTTATATCACCCTAATATCATACTTGTATCATACTTATATCACATTAATATCACTTATATCACACTTATAGCACGCTTATATCACATTTAAATCACAGTTATAACACAATGATATCACACTTATATCACACTTATATCACATTTATATCACACTTATATCACTTATGTCACACTTATCTCACATATATACACTTATGTCACACTTATATCACATTTATATCAAACATATATAACACTTATATAAAACTTATATAACACACTTCTATCACACCTATATCACACTTATCTCACATATATACACTTATATCACACTTATATAACACTTATGTATCACACGTATTTCTCACTTATATATCACTTACATGACATTTATGTAACATTTGAATCACACTTACGGTAACCAATGACCGTCTCCCTTACAGGCGCCTGGCCAGCGCCGTCCAACACGACCAACGTCCACGTCAACACGTTTGCTACACACCTGTGTAACCCAGTGACCCAGTTCTCTCTACACCAGAGTGGCGACGTCAGGGTTTGTGTCATGGTGGCACCTTATTTCATAACATACAGCCAAGCCAGAGCTCACTGCAAAGGTAATGTTCAGTTTTAGACAGTCAGTTCGTTAAAGTGCAATCGTATGGTGATTTATACACTGGCAGTTCATTAATATACAATTATAAAGTAAAGAATGTTCTTTAGACCTAGCGATCCATAGGGCAGATGAAGTAAAGTTAATAAGTTTCTTGACCTCGGCATATATATAATATCAGAGCTGGAAGGACTTATGGACGCTCTACTATATATATATATATATATATATATATATATATATATATATATATATATATATATATATATATATATATATATATATATATATATATATATACACCTATTTATGACGTTCAGTATGAAAGTTAGAACCATTACTTGTTTCAACAGATCTAGGCGGAGACCTGTTTACAACGAAGACCGCTGAGAAACTGGCCATACTAAAAAATGTAGCGCCCATGCAATCCAAACAGTTCTGGGTGGGGCTGGATGCTAGGGCAACAACCAATGTCTTTAAGTATGTGGACGACGGCTCGGTACTGTCAGACACATGGAGGGTGGTCCTCTTTGGATCAGGTATGCTTTTTTTTATCAAAAGCCCTATCTTTTTTTTTATCAAAAGCCCTATCTTTTTTTTTTATCAAAAGCCCTATCTTTTTTTTTATCAAAAGCCCTATCTTTTTTTTTATCAAAAGCCCTATCTTTTTTTTAATCAAAAGCCCTATCTTTTTTTATCAAAAGCCCTATCTTTTTTTATCAAAAGCCCTATCTTTTTTTATCAAAAGCCCTATCTTTTTTTTATCAAAAGCCCTATCTTTTTTTTTTATCAAAAGCCCTATCTTTTTTTTAAAATTGATTTTAATTGACAATTAATTCTAACCCTAAAAATATATTGCAATGAACGAGGAAGTCGAGTATTAATGCAGTCGTCTCTGAGTCAAACCAGCTATAATTGGTACTCGGCTTCAGTTGTATAAGGCTTATGTTACACTCTACTTCATCTGCCACAAAGTGGGCCTACTATCAAGTTTTGTTTAGTGCTTTACGTCTATAACAGATTTCTCGCTAAGCCACACTAGTAATATCTAAAAATATATTTGAAAACAATGATTTTAAAATCGTTCGTTACACAGTAAAAATGGCACGATGCTTTATGGACATTTTATGACGGAGTGGGAGGGCTGGTGGGATGGGTCGTATTCGGCTCTTCGGGAGGGGTGGGGTAGAGAGAGTCTATCCCCGAACGAAATAGAAAAACAATCTTATTTTTATTAATTAGTGTCAGCCCCAACTCGAAATTTAAGTTTCAACTGAATCAGTGAGGTAGGCGGGTGGGCTATCACGTGGGACCAGAGGCGTAGCGACCCTTCCCGGCGCCCGGGGACAAACTTTCGATTTGCACACCCCTCAAATTTTCGATTTCCACCCCCCCCCCTCAAACTTTCAATTAGCCCCCCCAAGTCAAACTTTCGATTTGCACCCCGCCCCCAAACTTTCGTTTACTTTTTCCAACCCATTTTGGCGCCCCCTATGGTCGGCGCCCCTATGTCCCCCCTGCCCCCCCCCCCATCTCTACGCCTCTGTGTGGGATACAATGTTTAGCCCAGGTTGGAGGCATTGGGTGTGGGGGTACAGTTAGAATATCGTTAAGTCATTGAACGAAGCGTTAAGCAAACACTTTAAATCGTGTGTATTGTAGACTTAATAAAAACAATCGGGTTGAAATGAATAAATATAGATTTACATTTTCACGATTTACATTTTCTTCAGCGGACCCCAGCCCATCGGGGAATGATTGTGTGTTCTTTGTCCAATACACCGGTCAACATAAGTACACTACTTGCGGCAGTATGATCAATTACGTGTGTGAGATGCCTCTCCTGTCATGAACCAGTCGCCCACAGAGTTTCTTTCAGTCTATTTTCTCCGGGGTCAGGCACTTGAAAGTTTTGGAAGGAGTGGGGGTTTAACTCGTTATGGTACATATTTTTATATAAATGAAGTTTTTTTAAATGTCTTTTGGGGGACTTTGGACGAGCTTGGAGAAGGGGGGAGGGGGGGCAGGGGAGGACATTCCCTATCCCTCGAAAAGATGCCTGAAAGAAACTCTGGTTTTCAATATTTGTCGGTATTTAATAAACAAGTTTGTCTTCTTTGCCAATACACTTCTAATTGCACTTATAATTGTTGAAGAACTTCACTTTAAAGTTTCTATGTGGCCAATAGTCTCGTATATTACATAAATGTTTTTTTCTTCTTTAAAAGTGTATTGTGTCGAAAGGATAAGTCAACACATCATACGTCAACCTTTTAATGTCGTGTTTGGGCTTATACACAGAAGCTTTGCTTATATGCCATTGTTAATTTTATAACTCTCAATCGTCACGCGCTACATAACACATCACACAAAAGTCTGCTTGTTCGTTCTGATTTCTCTAACTTGTACATATACTTATGTTTGTTTTATCCAGTATGTTTCAATCTTGTAATGTTATGATTTCAATTGCAGGTAATTTGTTATCCTTATACGATTGAACGCTAGACTGCTAACCCAAAAGTCTCGAGATCGAACCCGTGCTCTAATCAGTAAAACGTCCGTGAGTCCACTCAGCTCTGATGGGTACCTAACACATGATAGTAAAACAAAAAGGTTGGGCATTGTGCTGACCACATTAGCCCCTTGCATGTCGAGGTCATAGAAACAGATTAACTCTACTTTATCTGCCCTATGGGTCTTGGGCACAAACGGGAAAAGATTAAGATATGATAGAAAGACCCATAGCTTTCGGCATGTAATGGCGGGTTGTAAGTGTCTTAGCTGCTGTAATATTCTCAACTTTTTCTATTATTTTTTATGAATAAAATTTTGTTTTTTTTCAAAATAATCCAGAGTTTTAGTTTTGTTCCATTTTTTTAAAAACTGCTTGTAATGTAATTTTTTATCGGTGTATATTTAAATGTTCTTAATAGCAAATAAGTATTAAAATCTGATGAGAAGGAACAACAAACAACACAACATGTGATGTCTGTAGAGAGGCGAACAATACATTACTCGTCAAAATACAACTATATTCTTTTAAAATTAGTAGATAGTTAAAAAGTGTTGTTTTTAAAGCACGCACACAAACAATTAAAAATTAAATTATAAAAAAAAAACAGTAATAATCTAATATGTATATCGTTTTTGTTTTATTTTTTTACTACCACCGACGTAAATTACAGTAAAATATTTAAATAAAAACAACAACAGACCTAGGGTGACACGTAAACTTTAGTAATCTGTTTTCTTGCAGCCTACACAATGATTTAAGTTCAAAACTTGAATTAAAAACAGAAACAAAGTATAATTCATATACAGTATATTATTTTTTAATGACAATCGATGTAAATAGTAGTATTTGATAAAAGAAAAGAAAGATTGACTTAGGGTCAAATTCGGGTTTTAGTCATTTAATTTTTGTAGGCCTATGGCCTATTCGAAGGTTTAAGTTCAAAAACACAACAACAAAAAGTGTAACTAAAAACCAGAAACAATCTATAATTCTTACATAGCATTTTTGTTTTGTTTAATGACCTATGCTGTAAATAAAGTAAAGTTTTAAATAAAATCAAAGATGGACAAGTCTCATCTATATGTTTTAGTCATCACAGCCCACAAGAAAGTTTATGTTTAAAGACGCAACAAAAAATATATAAATGAATAAAAACCAGAAACAATGTATAATCTATGTTCATTTTACTTTTTTTTTATTTTTACCATCAATGAAGATAAAAGTAAAGTTTTAAATAAAATCAAAGATGGACATAGGGTCAACGATATGGTTTAGTCATCTCTTTTCTTACATGGCCCACACGACCTGGGTACAATCTTCCTACCCTCAGGCAGGGCGCAGTTGGCCGAGTCCAACAAACAATCGTTGCTGTAGGTCCTACCATCGCTACCACAGACGGGCCTCAGCATCCTGTTACAGCCGACTATAGGGCAGGGTCGGACCTCGTTGCCAGGGTAACAGCGTTTGATGCAGTCCCCCGGGAAGGCCACGGTGACCTGCTCGTCCCTGTCCCTCCCGCAGTTCGCGTTGTCCAGGACACACTGGCTGGCGTAGGTCTTGCCGTCACTGCCGCACACAGGTGCATAGATGAAGGTGCAGGGTTTTCTACACGTAGTGGGACCTAAGTGAAGAGGAATTATGATTTAGCAACAGACATGAATTATAGAGTTATATATATATATATATATATATATATATATATATATATATATATATATATATATATATATATATATATATATATATATATATATATATATATATATATATATATATATATATAGATATAGATATATATATATATATATACAGAGGCGAAGCGAGAGCGGGGCGGGAGGTACGGACCGTACGGGTGACACCTTTTAGGCCAAAAAATTGCAAAATATGTCTTAGTGTCAGATGTATTAGTGATTAATTAAACTTAAATATACCTTTAATTACAAATCCACACAATTATTACAAGAGGGTGGGGATGTTGTGTTTCTTGGGGGGGGGGGGGGGGGTGTAACACCACAACGTGCCGCACCGGGTGACACCAGAGCTAGCGACGCCACTGTATATATATATATATATATATATATATATATATATATATATATATATATATATATATATATATATATATATATATATTAGCATTTTTACAGTGATAAATAGTTCTCAATAATACGGCTTTGTTTAGTTTTAAAGTTTTAAAGCATACGTAAACATTGAGTTCGGTTAAAGATTTTACCCGGTGATTTGGTGTTGTGATATGCATAAGTAGGCCATATGGAAACCTTATCATAGTTTGATGTTAAAGAAACGCATACATCGTAGCTTTTCCCACCTTAGAGTATGATAACGATATTCATTCAATTATAATGTGGTTCTAATACGAGTTTGAGAAAGTAACGATGCAGGGTATAGTGTTGACAGTAAGAAACTTTTGATTGTCGTGGTATCAAATAAAATTTATCTTTTCGTTTAACTATCACTGCTTTCTTTTATGACGTTAATAAAAACTAACGACAATTTTCAACTCACACGTTATCAGAAAACTTTTCTTTAACTTTTCGTTTATTTATAAGTTTTAGAAGGATAAATATACTTTTTGTGACGTTAATAAAAACTAACGACAATTTTTAACTCACACGTTATCAGAAAACTTTTCTTTAACTTTTCGTTTATTTATAAGTTTTAGAAGGATAAATATACTTTTTGTGACGTTAATAAAAACTAACGACAATAAAAAAAAACTCACACGGCCCGCAAGATTTGGGCTTGATCTTCTGGTCGTCCGGCAGTCCACAGTTGGCACCGTCCAACACGCAGTCGTTGTCGTACGTCTTGCCGTCGCTGCCACAGATGGGGTTGAGCAGCAGGTAGCAGGCGCTGACTGGGCACTCTCGCTTGACCTCACCGCTGTAGCATCTCTTGATACACTCCCCATTGAAGACCGCTGTGATCTTCCTGCCCTTCTCCCTGTCGCAGTTGGCGTTCAGTAGCTCACACAGGTTGCTGTAGGTCTTGCCGTCACTTCCGCACACCGGGCTGTAGTTTCTTGGGCAGGGTTTGCGACAGTCATCGTCGTCGTCGTCGGCAAGAGCGAAACCTGCAGGCGACACGTTAAAACAGGAAAACGAAACTTTAAACATAAATAACATAAATTAAATGTAAGTACCAGATATAGTTGAGGGGCGGAGTGGTCTACGGTAGAGAGCAGGACTTCTAACCCGTAAGTCTCGAGTTCGAATCCGGGTACAAGTCAGTAGAACGTCCCTGAGTCCACCCAGCTCTGATGGGTACCTAACTCACGTTAGGGAAAGTAAAGGAGGCTGGGTATAGTGCTGACCACACTATCTCTTCATATTCCGAGGTCACAGAAACAAGTAAACTCTACTTCACTTGTTCTATAGGCCGTCAAGTTTAGAAGGGAAACTTTACCACCCGGTGAAGTTGACATTAACTAGAGCGTGCAATGGAAATGTAAAGTTCTGTTGCGGCGATTCAGCTTGAAAGATTGTGTGCACGCGAACAAAGCTGAGCTAAAGATAGACTAGTTGGAGTGAAGCTTACCACATCACACCTTGATATACATACAACCGAAGTATTTTAATGACATAATTCTGAATTTATTTCTCTAAAATAAGTTTTAGTGCATAACAAATGTGTTACATGTCAATGAAATAATCAAAGTTAAATTAGTCTAATTGAGTATTTTAATTAAGTAACCTGATTAGTTAGAAGGTTTTAACTTTTGTGTCACGTTGATAAACGACGAGAACTTTTGTATTACGCTAATAAAAACAATGAGTTAAAAAACAATGAGTTAAAAAAACAATGAGTTAAAACTATCGCTGCTGCGAGCTTCCGACGAATACGATGCTGAATGGAATACAACAAATCAACTTATCCTACGGAGTGCACGTCATTGGATTAGGATTAACTCTTTCAACATGGCAATCGAAGACTGTACGTGTTATTTTATAAGGTAAAATGAGAATAAACTATGAAAAAAAACATCAAGTAATTTTTTTTTGCTTACATACTGCTCCCAGTAAACAGAGTACTGTCAATTTTGACATGGTGTCTCTTCTTAATGTCTGAACTGGGAAAACAATACACATTTAATGTACAATAGTGACTCTATTTATACATTGTCGTGTAAAAGTATGTGCATATATATATATATATATATATATATATATATATATATATATATATATATATATATATATATATATATATATATATATATATATATTCGGTATACCTTAATGTACAATTCAATTGCGTTTGAGACGAAATATATTTTTTTCTGTAACTTGCAGTGTATTTTATACCAGTTTTTTTGCAGTAGATATCACCAGTGGAAATCTAACTTTTAATTTTCTGCATTCATTTAGCAAACAAAGGGGTAAGCACTCAAGCAGAAAATTGCTGTTAATTTAATCCATCGATTATTCCGCTTTCATTAGCACAACCTTGTCGTTAACAACTGATGGCATTTTTCGTGTTGTGTTGTCGGGCGGTATCGATGCTGATTTATTTAAACTGTATCACTGGTATCGAGAGTCTCACTTTCAATTTCATAATATTAAACATTATTTTACCAAGCGGTTAGCCCAAAATATAAGCCTAAACGAATCTTAAACTCAAACGCGTTAAAATTATAACCCCTATTCGCTCGTGACTAACAGTAGTACCGATATACGCAGATGTTAGACGATGCTGGATTATCTTGGGATTAGTCACAACGTGTGAGTTGCTTAATGAGTTGCTTAATGACATGTTGACAAGGTTGTGTTGTTTTGATGTTAAAGCGCTGACGTTGCTAAAAACTTCCAATAACGTTACGTTCCAAAATCCTGTTTAAAGTTGATATAGTTGAAACATAAATATTGCATTGAAAATAGACAGACGAAGTAGAGTCTATGTTTTCTTTTAAATGTATGCATATAAAGCCGTGCTCAGCAGTCCTTGTTTCCTATCGTGAGGCAGGTACCCAATAGTGTTGGGTAGGTTCGGGGACGGATAGAAACCCGAACTTTAGGCTAGCAGTCAAGTGGTTACCACCCGACCACACCGTCACATAATTTGAGATACTCGGACCCTTAATATGTCAATATGTAGGAACCGTTGTTCTAAATATGCATACAAAGCCGTATGGTGTATCATACATTATTGCAGAATTTAAAATTTAAACGTATGTTACTTTTATTTTTTCTGATTTTTTTGTTTTGTTTTTAACCATAACATTATTGGCATGTAGGCTACATAACGTTTAACTATTGTTAGCAAGTGAGACCAAAAATATTGCTTGTTCAGCCTAAAAATAAACCTGCCGTTATTCAATGTTAATTTTTTTATATCAAATAGGAAATCATATTGAGAAATTGCATATTTTAAGTTTCCATTTTGATCAAACCGCCTATGGATAAGTCGTTGATGTCTGTGGATACAATATTTAAACTTAATCAAATGGTAGAAATAATCAGTTATGAGTACCTGTCACAAATAGTAAACTGGGATACGCATAATAAATGCTTGTGTATTAATGCAATCATTAGATTGTTTGTGGTTTAATAGCAAACGTTGAATGTGTGCTGGTAAACACGATGGTTTGCCAGAATTAAACATGTCTGCTGTATTTTTACAAATGTTTGTTCAGCAATTAAAAAAAAACTCAAGCTACCATCTGTCGCCACGAAATGTGTGTCTACAGCACGACTGAAGCCAAATACTTTGAGTTAAATAAAACGGGCCCCATGAAAAGAATCTATTTTAATAAAGGATGAGCTTTGTGATACACACACACACACACACACACAAACACACACACACACACACACACACACACACACACACACACACACATATATATATGTAACTAGGGGAAGTTACCAGAGAATAACGCGGTACAGCGCTGTCAACTTTGACACGACTGACGTCACAGTGCAGGTGTTGGCTGATAACGATCAGAAAGCCAAGGCGTATTATCTTGGGAAGCGATATGATATGAACGCAATACGGTCTGTCAACTTTGATGTGACAGGATGCAGATGGCTTATTAAATCGGACTGTACGACAGAAGCGAAGTAATTAACATTCTGATGCAACGATTAGAATCGATTACGATAGAATCGAATACGATTACGATTATGATAGAGCCGAATACGACTACGGATACGAAGGGGATAAATAGCAAGGCGACGTCTCTCTGTGGCAGTCTGTGGTAGTCTGAGAGTCAGTGGTAGTCAGTAGCAGTGAGTAGCAGTCTCTCAGTCTCTCTCTCTCGATCAGTCAGTCTGTGTGGCAGTATCAAGTTGGTTATATTGTGTTAAGAAGGACGATAGACATGTGTATTCAGTTATATGAAGACTAGTGAGGACTGTTGGGAGTCAGTTGATTCAAACTATTATTGTGAAGCATTCCTTTTGATTCCGTATATTATTGTGAAGCATTTCTTTGATTCATGTAATAAAAGGATCAATAGCGAACCTGCATCTTCGAGTATCTATACTGTGGTCGATGTTGTGTAGAATGAGTGGTTAGACTCGGTAACATTTGGCGTTGTCGAGCAGAACTCGTTAACATTTGGCGCTACAGGCAAATAGTCTCGTTAACATTTGGCGCTGCGAGCAGGGTCACATTTGGCGCTGCGAGTAGCCTAGGTCACATTTGGCGTCGTCGGACAGGATGAATTCAACTAGACTTGCCGATTTAGGCACCCATAGTCAACCTTGTTAATAACTGTGTTTAGTGTGTGTGTGAATTCGAACATTCAGGAACAGTGAAAATTGAGGAACGAGGAAAATTTTTCATACACACACGGTAAGAAAGAACTCTTTTCTTTTTTTACTCAAGGAATAAAATGTCTACTCTGGACGAGAAGCAGACCCATATTGTGGTCCTGCCCAGAGAGTCCCACATTAACAAATTTTACGGGGACGGTGATCCAGCTTTAACCAACAGGTTCAGTGAAGAGGTCAAAGCGGCCTGGGCCTCGAGATGCATGTCACCAGAGGAAAGATTAAGACTGCTGATGGGCAGTATAGGAGAGACGGTCAGGGCAGAGGTCAAATGCCACGATAAAACCATCCAATCAGATCCAGATAAGGTGCTGGATCTAATTATGGAGACCTTTGGGGAGAGACGGTCGGGATCGCAACTGCTATCGGGGTTCGTAGGCTTAAAGCAGAGAATGGCGGAGAGTGTGATGGAGTATTCACACCGAATGAACAGGGCCTTTGATTCGGTAAAGGGCAAAACACCTGACATTGATGTACGCCTACTGAGGGACCATTTCATCGAGGGGCTAGCAACCCCGATCTTAAGGAGAGAGTTGAAAGAGGAGGTCCACAAAGACCCGCAGTTGACCTTCCTTCAGGTCAGGAACTCAGCGATCCGCAGGTCCGAGGATGAGGACCAATCGAACTGTTCGGTGGACAAAGTCTCTGTGCCGGAACAGAAACAATCCCCACCCACAGGGACCGGCACGATGGAAACCATGATGGCTCAACTGTTGGCCCACCTGGTTAAGGTTGACCAACGATTGGAGAGGTTAGAAAGCAGGTCAACAGCTGAGAATCAGGGCAAAAACGGGACAAAACAGAGACAGGTTGGACAGCCGCGACCTGCCGGTCCATCGCTCCGGTGGACGGCTGACGGTCGACCAATTTGCTTGTCCTGTTCACAACCCGGACATATGGCACGGTACTGTCCGGTGAAACGATCGCCCTCTGTACGGCAGGTCAAGGCTACAGAGCGGCGAGGTAATGACTTAGTAAACAAAATGACACAGAAACACAGTAAGGAGAAAAAGAAAGGTAAAACACAACTAATGGAAAAAATGAACTGTGAAATGAACTGGGATGTTGAAAAGTTTCAAGTGAACAATTTGTTGGTAGAGAAAAATGATGATAAGAAGGAAATTGGTAGACTTAAGAATGAGATCTCAATGTTAACCAGGAAACTGGATAGGGAAAGTTCATGCAAATTAAAAGCACAGGAGAAATGTTCATCTTTAGAGTGTCTGTTATCGGAAGAAGTAAATAAAAATAGTAGACAACAGAACAGTGTTGGCAAACTAGAAGAAATGAAAGAGTCTCAAACAAGACTTGAAGAGAAATTATCCGATATTGAAAAAGAACTTCAAATTACAGCAAGGCTGGGATCCATCGAACAGCGATGGGCAGCAGAATTGGCACTCTTTGACCTAGAGATAAAATATCGCCCGGGGCGGTCCAATGGCAATGCGGACGCCTTATCAAGGAATCCTTACGAGAGACCGGGCGATGAGGAAGAAACGCTGACAGGAATATGTGAGGTCAGAGCGTCAACAGATATCCCTCACGGGGTGCAAGTGATGCAAAACGGACAGACCGGGGTGGAGCACATATCCACAGAGCCCGGACATATGGACATTAGTGATTTTAGTTGCCTTAATAATAAAGAGATACGAAATGCCCAGAGAACGGATAGTGGCTTACAGCCGCTGTTGAAAAACGTCCAGGAACAAAAATTCCCAAGGAGAAGGGAAAGAGAACAATTTGGTCGAGAAACAAAGAAAATACTGAGTCAGTGGGACCGTCTCAGTATAAAGGATGGTGTTCTCATGCGGAGAATTCATGACCAAATTGATGGGACAATACACCAGGTGGTGGTGCCTGGACAATTACGAGAAGAAGTGCTAAGGTTGGCACATGACAGGGCAGGACACCAGGGTCAGGACAGGACGCACAAAATTTTACGACGGAGGTGTTACTGGCCCAATATGGAAATGGAGGTCAAACGCCATTGGGAGGCTTGTGTGAGGTGTCAGCATGCGAAAATGCCAGTTGTCAAAATGAGACAGCCATCAGGACACCTACTAGCGACAAAACCACTAGAGATTGTGGCTATGGACTTTACGTCGTTGGAGCAATCATCGGATGGGACGGAACATGTGTTGGTAATGACTGATGTTTTCACCAAATGGACTGTGGCGGTGCCCACACGAGATCAGACTGCCAAAACAGTGGCAAAGGTCTTAATAGAACATTGGTTCATCAAATATGGCATACCAGGACAGTTACACTCTGACCAAGGAAGGGCCTTTGAGTCAGAAGTAATTAACCAACTGTGCAGCCACTACGGGATCAACAAATCTAGAACAACCACATTTAATCCGAAAGGAAACGGACAGTGCGAGCGGTTCAACCGCAGCATGCATGATTTGCTGCGTACTCTAGAACCTGAACAGAAAAAACGTTGGCCTGATTTTCTCCCAGAGTTGGTATATCTATACAACTGCACACCCCATGCCACAACCGGCTTTTCGCCATACATGTTGCTGTTCGGACGGGAGGCTCG